AGTCTAGGCATCCGTACTGCCGTGCCCCGCGGGCCTGTTTGTCACGGAGAGCAGGCTGCTGCACGTGTCCTTGCCCGGCTGCATTGACGCACTGGCTCTGTGTCTGTTTGTGCATGACGCGCCGAGTGCGAGATCTGCGTGAGCCGGCTGCGTGGTGTGTGGCGTTTGCACCGTTTATGCTTGGGAAGGCAAAGAACAGCAATTTTTCATGAGCAAATATTTGCATATTTTCCACTCGTTCGAGCAGATAAAGCATTTCAATTCTCTGTCAGATCCTCAGGAGAGCTAGGAGCATCTTCTTTTGAAAGGTGTTTTCCCTTTTTCTATTCCCCTGTCTCTTTTCTCTGTAGGCTACTCCATTACAACAATGCTTCCTGCCCCCTCCACACACCCCCTTGTTCCAACAGCAGAAAGCAGAACATGGCCTGGACAGTTTTGCTGTTGCCTGATCTGAGCTGCTGTGATTCCCTGCTGATGACAAATACAGCGGCTCCCTAACAACAGCTTCAAATGACATTATGTGTGGGCTGTGCTGGTAGCAGCCTGGAAACACACCCTCGGTTTTCCACACTGGAGCCCCTCTGCCATCACCATTCAACACCCTTCCAGTTTTCCTACTGAATATCCACTGCACGGCAGAAAGGCCACGCTGAGTGGGTCAGCAGCTGCTCCAGACCACTGTTGTGTGATTTGGTTTGGTGTGTGTATGTTTGTGTGTATGTATGTTTGGGTTTGGTGTGTGTATGTTTGTGTATGTTTGTGTGTGTGTGTGTGTGGAGGGCCCTTGGCAAGGCGCAGCTGCCCCCTCCCAGCCTGAGCCTGTTGCATTAAGGTGAATGTGCTGAGTTCTTGGCATTGGTGCTTAGGCTGAGCAACACACAGAGGTCTGGGTGTGTGGGCACCTCTGTGGGTGGCCCCATATGGTCTCATGCACACACATATGTGCTTGAATCCGTGCATGGCATGAACATGTCTGTATGTTTATAGACATCTATGTGCACACACACACACACAGAGGCATGCAATCATGCAATAAACACTCATTTGCATGCATGTGTGCATGCACAGCACACACCGATGCCTCTCTCTATCTGTTCTTGTGGGCTCTGACGTGTGTGCACAAACTCTCTGACAGAATGGGGTCCCCATGTCTCTATCACCCCATCTCCAATCACACGTTTGCTGGGAAGAGGATTGCACAATGCTGCTGAAATCATTGCAGCCCTTTCTAGTCTTGCAGCTCTGATCACTACGTGACAAGAATGAAACCTTTTGTGCAGCACAGGGCTTGATGAAGCCCTTATCTCTGTGTCTCTGCACCCAGAATAGAAAAGCACTTTTCCATAGCTGACTGGAGCAAATCCCCCCTGAACACTTCCAGACTTTCATTTAGCCACTGCACATGGTCCCCATGGCCTCTGGGCTGCCCAGGGCCAACCACAGCATCGTTAAGGAGAGGGAGAGGGATCACAAGGGCATCAGATTAATGCCATTACCACAGACAACTCTGGGGATTCACCAACAGGGAGACAGTGCTGAGGAAAGAGCAGGGGTCAGGAGACAGTGACCTCCTGATCATCATTCCAAATGCCTGTTCCTATGAAAACCAGCCTTTAAATCAGTGGTGATTGTTTGAAATTTTTTTGTGGCATTCATTTTCTCCTCTTGAATTTTGGAAAAGAAATACCTTTTCCTTCCCCTCCCCCAGTCTTATTTTCTGTTCATCTTCATTTTTGTTTCCCTAATTTGTCACTGCAAAGCAGGATACAGCCTAGGGGGGCGAAGAAAACACAAGACAGAAAAACGTGATGCTTGTGTCTCTTTTCTTTTCAACCCCTATTTAATCTAAAGATCTCCAGTTGTTGGGTTTTTTTTTTTTTTTTTTTTTTTGCAGATCTCTCTGGAACACATTTTGTTTGCCCCAGCAGGCTGCCCTGCAGAGCTGCCTTGGTGGGAGCTCAGATTCCGTGTGTCAAAATGATGTCTCCTTGGCACGCTTGCTTGGTGCTGGCATCGCAGTGCTTGGGCTCTTAAGGAATGTTGGTATTTTAAGAAGCCAACCAGTCGACAGAGTTTCTTGAATGGTGATTTGCAGCAGATGGAGCTGCAAAGGCATGTGAAATGAAGTCTCAACTCAGTGTGGTGGTGAAGGAGACTGTCTCTGTTAAGTGTGTTGGCAGCTGGGGAACTCCCCCCATCTCCCCACAGCAGCTGGGCTGCCACTCCATGGATAAGGAAACCCAACCTATATCTGCCCCCATCCTCCTGAACTGCCTCCTGCAAGGTCCTTGATCACAGCCACATGTCTTCTTCAGTGCCTGGTCATCAACCACAAGCAATGTTACAAGCTCCTCATACAATACAATCTCTGCTCTGTCCTGCAGGGATTGCTCTTGTAGGGGAGTCCAGCACTCACCTGGCTCTGCTCTCTCTGCAAAAGGAGCAACACAGACTGGAGTCTGAAGTGCTGTGTTGTCCATCTATCTGACCATTTGGTTGTCAGCCCTTTTAATCTTTCCATCACTTGCTGCCCCTTATAGAAGCAGAAGCTTTGGCAGTCCACCCTTATTCTGGCAGGATTTCTTGGTCGTGTTGCATCCAATGGATGTAGCGGGAGCTCCCCAAGAAGCTAAACCAGAGGCTTTTTTTAGTCCAACAAACTTTATCCCACGCCCATGAATAGTTTGGCTGCTTTTCTGACTGGGGCCCATGGTGTGGGAAGCTGATGCACGGATTGAAGGAGAAAAAGATGTAAAGACATAGCAGAAGATAGAAACTGGCTACTAAGCTCTTTCTTTTCCCCATGAGCTGAGCCTGCACTCCTGGGTGTCTGACTGCTCGTGCTCAGGTGGGTGCTGTAAGGGCAGCTGAGCAGGTCCTGTGTGGTCTGGCAGGCAGCTCAGCTGCTGAGGCTGAGCCTGCAGGCATGGACAGCTTGGCACCACCATCCCAGGCTTAAAGAGGAAACATGAGGATGTAGGATTTCAGGGGACAATCATTGTTGTGGAGGTGGTGGCAGTACCAGTGGCTGAGAGCACAGCTGAATGTGTTTTGGTTGGTTATGTCTGCAGTCCCTGCCTACCCTTCCTCTGCTCTCTCACCTGGCTAGGAGATGTCTGTTCATCTGACACCCTGTGACTTTCCTTTTCCAAAGTTGGGTGTCCTGCACTGCAGAACACAGTTCTGAGGCCTGCCAGGCCTTCTCACATTGCCTTTGCGTGACCTTGACTCTTGCTTCCTTATAAAGTGGTTCTGTTCCCATGATCCTCAGCTGCTGCAGCTTGTTCTACTTCCCAGTCCAGGACTTTTGGCTTCTGTCCCAGCACACCCAACCCCATGCCACACCTTCCCTTCTCTTACCTTTTCTCGAGTGACCTGTGAGACATCTTTCCATTACCCAGCTATCTCCCATAATTGACCTTCCACAAGTGACCTCTTGCAACATCTCCTGACCTCAGGGAAGTGTGTGTCCTTCTGGTGCGTCCCTCCTTCCCATTTCTCAATATTGTTTTTAGAGAAAACTGCCCAAAGGGCTGTGGTATGAGGGTCATTTCAGTGGCTGTAACTTAGCAACCGCATTCATGGAGAAGTTAAAAGTAATTTTTACAGACATTTTATATTCAACAGACATTTTAGCAGAGCTGCAGGAATGAAGCCAAAGTGGAGAGGGAGACCTTCATCCCACCCACCCTTGTACAGTGCTGCTCCTCTAGCCTGCACACTCAGATGGGCCCATCCACGACTTCCCTCCAACAAGCAGTGTGCAGGAACAAGCACTCATCCAACTCCACAGCAGCACATTTGCTCTCCAGCTCTTATCCAAGCACTCACATCTGTACTTAAACATCCTGCAATTACATAAACACACTCTCTCACCTGTGTTTGTGTACACTTACACACATGCATACCCCCTTAGGTACCCCTGCATACATGTGCACACCCCCAGCAGATGAGCATCAGTGCCCAGGACTGGCACCAGCCTCCCACCAGCCCTGACTCCTTGGTCTCTGATCCTCTTCAGCCAGCCCCCTACATGTACAGTCCAGGGAACAAAGTTTTGCCTACAGCTACCTTTGTGCACATGCACACGCACACATCATTTGTTCACCATTCTGGGCCAAATACTCTACCACTTCCTACAGGATAAATTGGTTCCTAGTATTGCTCCGAGTCTTTACAACCACAGCTCTGACACATTGGAGATCCCCTGACCTCTGTCTGCTTCCTGCCCCCATCCTGTACTGAGAGCTGCCTTCACCTCCTGTGCCAGCAAAACATGACTCTGTACGGAGATTGACTCAGCTCAAAGACATTTTTTATTCTCAGGAGAGCCAAATCTATAGCGCTCCCTTCCCTAAACACATAGAACAGTTTTGCCTATCTGGCCTTCCAAGTCCAAAGGCTTTTTCTTTATTTATAGTAAAGCTTAAGGAGAAGGAAAGAAATGCTGCCTCTAACTCATGTCTCATTGTCTTCTTCTCTACCCTTGTTACACCTCCCACCAGAGTGCAGAGGCACCAGGAGAGCCCTGAGGAATGTGGAGTGTAGGAAAGAAATTATCAAACTTTTTCTCCCAGGTAAGTCTCGTCATCCTGCCCAGAGTCCATAAGAGCTCTGAAAAGAAAGAGGAAGTTTTGAGCAGTCAGTGGTCTCCAGCCAGACCACCACAGGCAGGAAATCTGTTCCCAATACTTTTTGAAGAACTAGAGAGGGCCAGCCATGCATGCAACTGGCTAGTATATCTTTGCTGCAGACATTTCTCTTTCCTGTTCATCTTTTAAGGCAGACCATTTCTCATGTTTATAAGTCAAGGCACTGGGTTGCCTACATGTGGTATATACCATCTGGGGACTTCCTCAAGGTGCCACCATGAGATGGCAGCCTATGCCCTCCAAAGCTGGATCACCTAAGGGCAGATCATCACTCTAGGGCTGACCTTGTTTCTCTGTACTCCCAGTGCCCATCACCTCTTCAGCTCTCCCTAAATGCAGTCTGCTCTTTACCTGGTGTTGCCAGATGAAAAATCATTTTCTCCTGGTGGCAAATACGATGCTTATTCTTCAAAAGCCATGGCCTATGGAGCTGTACAATGTTTATTCTGTAGGAAGAAGAACTCAAAAGCAACCAGCCCAGTTGTGCCAACTTTTACCAGTTCACCAGGCAGTCAGGTATGACTTTGGGGTCACCAGCCATAGGGGACCACCAAAAGACTCCCAGGACAGAAGAATACATGTGTAAAGGAGAGGGAAAATACATTGATGGTTTTGGGGAAATTAATATCATATGTATGTTTATACTGGGAAAATTAATGAGCATGTATGTAAAATGTAGTACATAAATGGGAGCTTTTTTGTACTCAGCATGCATGATATTTTGAAGGAGATATCTCCTCGTGCATCCAGCCAAATAAAGAATACCTGCTTCTGAATGCTACATTAGTGTTAGGGAGGTTTTATTTTTTACCAATTTCTGGTAACACTGGTACCACACACACTTCAGGTGTCTCTTCCAAGCCAAGAACAATGCCTTGCTTCTTCCACAAGATCATGGGGCCCTATTCATCTTTAAGGCTACTCTTGGACTTTATTATTCCCTTGTATCATCTCCCATTGCCTTTGGAAGTAGCGAAGGTGAAGGGGATCCCATGTCCCGATGTATCTTACCACCCCTTTCATCATAAATAGCTGACATGCAACTTGCTGCTCTTTTCGAATCCCGCAGGCTCCTCGGGGAGTGGTTTTTGCTCATTGCTTTTTCCTTCCCCACTGCTTAGAGGGCACTCCTGCCTGTCATTTCCATTCCTGGTGATCTTGCTGATCTCACCCTCTTCCCTTTCGTCATCGATCTTCTCTGAGGGGCATGCTGGCACCTCCTGGCTCTGGACTCGGCGGGATGGCCTGAAGATGGCCCTGCGGAAGCCCTGCTGGAAACGGTAGGAGAGGAAGCCATAGATGATGGGGTTGGCGCAGCTGTTGGCATATGGCAGCACCACCACAAGGAAGTAGACTCCAAAGAGGGATGGCTCCTCCGGCAGCGGGCACACAACATTGATTATGTTGAGGACGTAGAAGGGAAGCCAGCAAAGGACGAAGACGGCCACCACAGTCACCACCATGCGGGTCACTCTGCGCTCTGAAAGCTTGTGCTTGGAGGACAGAGCCCTCACCCGCCTGCCGGAGGAGCGAACCTTCACTACAATCAGGAGATAGCAGAGACAAATCACCAGCAGTGGTCCAAAGAAGCCCAGGGTGGCAGTGTAGACGATGAAGCCAGCTCTCCACACCGAGGCAGGCTCTGGCCACTGGATGTGGCATGTACTCATCCCTAAAGGGACATCTGAGAAGACAACCACGGGCAGCACCACTATGGAAGACAGCACCCACACGGTTACGCTCACGGCCTTGGCCACCCGTGCTGTCCTCCATTTGGAGGACTTGCCAGGGTGGACCACAGCCAGGTAGCGGTCAACGCTCATCACTGTCAGGCAGAAGATGCTGGTGAACTGGTTGATGGCATCCACGGCCATCACCAGGCGGCACATGAAAGAGCCAAATGGCCAGTAGGACAGGGCATTTTGTGCAGCCAGGAAGGGCAGGCCCAGCATGAAGAGCTCATCAGCCAGGGCCAGGTTCAAGATGTACACGTTGGTCACCGACTCGCTCACGGAGTGCCGTAGGACCACATAAATGACCAGGGAATTCCCAGCCAGCCCCACCACACAGACAATGAGGTAGACCACGGGGATGAGGACACCGCTGACAACTACACCAGGGCTGACAGTGGAGGAGCTGTTGGGGATAGTGAAGCCTGCCCAGCTACTGGAGGCATTCCCCTCCTCCAACACTGCTGGCGTGGGGAGGCTAAAAGCAGAAGTGTCCATAGCAGAGACAAGGAAGAGGGCAGGGGCAGTGTCCTTGCAGGATCAGTTAGCAATCTGGAGCTGAAGGGAAGAGAAAAAAAACATTGATACCGGGGATATGACAGCTGAACAGGCCACAGGTAAAATCATCACATTAACTATGTGTTAGGTATAGGCACGGGAAATCAAGGGGAGTTTGTGGATCCTAGCAGGTGCTGGAAAATCTAGGACAATATCAAACCCATCTAGGCATGCAAGGCACAGTGCACATGGAGGGACAAACGGGGACATGGCTCAATGTGGGCCTCTCCTCTAGCAAAAGATCCTCTGGAGAAAGAAACACAGACTAGCATAAGGACAGGGAAAGTTTTCCTTTTCTGCTAATGGATCCAATACTGAGGACACGGTCACCAGGGGCTTGGTTCTCATTTATGAGTGGCAGGTGCTTTACAAGCAAAAGAAGGAAAAACATCCATTGACAAAGTGCCTTTCCAACTCTGACTTTCCTATTCTCTGAGTATTTATTCTCCTGCTTGCTGAAGCTCTTTTTGGACTGGCCAGGTTATTGTTAGCCTCACAGGAGAAGGAAAAGCACTTTCAATCCAAGCAGAGAGGCTTAGCTCAGCACCTGAGCTGAAGGGCAGCTGGTTTGTGTTATGCCAGTTTGAGAGTAAAAGAAAGATAATTTTGGGTACACCAAGAGGGATCGGTCCAGATCCCCCTTGTCTCTTTTTCTTCTGTTCTCCCTGCCACTCTCTCCCTCTCCTTCTGCACGCTGCAACACACTGCTAATGGCAGAGGCTTTGCCTGCCCCACCTGTTTGCAGCACCAAAGCAGCGTCCCAGCCTCTCTAAGCTGAAGAGCCCAGTGTGTGTCACGCGAGGGTTTGGCATGGAAACAGCACTCGGCTCACTCAGAGGCAGCCTTGAGCAAACAAGATCTCTATCCACCACCAGCTCGCTGCTGACACTGGAGAGGAGCTGCAGGGAGAGAAGGGACAGTTAAGGGATGGATGTGCCTTTTGTCAGGGCTCCATATGTGAAACACAGAGCCCAGCACATACTGTGGACCAGAGATACCCTGGAAACCTAACGCAGGGGAGATTTGTGTTTCTTTCAGGATTACTCCAGCTCTGGAAAAATTTCTGGAGGTGGGGACTGACAGGGATGTCCCTCTGAATTAGTTCCTTGGAAGGGAAGATGACTTCGTGGAAGTGAATGGGGACATTAAGGCTCACCTTTTCACATCTCAACAAATCTCTTAGGGCTCTGAAGCTTCTTCTCTATTCAAATTAAAACTGGGGATACCAAAGGAAAGAACTCCCAACCTTAACTACTTTCAGGAGGCCAGAGACACTCCAGAGAATTTTCTTGCAGATGTGATTTTCTGTAGCACCACAACTTTCTTCACAAATGTCTAATATTACAGTATTTGGAGTTTTTTTGTTTGGTTGGGTTTTTGTTACTTGTTTGTTTGTTTGTTTGTTTTGTAGATGCCATTCCAAGTTCTGGAAACCCTAGGGGAGACTTGAGCTTTAGGATTTCTTGGACACCAGACAGGCAAACCCAATAGACCCCACAGATGTATTAAATTTTACACTGAAGGAACCTCATCTGAGAGGCCCTATAAAAACACAGTTGAGCAACTATGTCTTAAGGCCATTTCTACCAGCTATTATATAAATGTTTCCTGCTTTAGAGCATTTGAGCTTTGAAGGACTGGGATTGTTTAGATTTTTTTAAATTTCCAGGTGCCTTGGGCTGTGACACACTGTCCTGACAGAAGCCCATCTCATGGGGTCCTGCAGTCCCACACATCATGAGTGGCTGCACTGAATGAGCCGAATAGGAAGTGATTTGAAACTCTAAGTTAAAGGCTGTTTCCTCTGATATTTTTTCCAATTCTGTTCTAGTGACACAAATCACTTGTTGGAGAAAAGAGGAGGGCAATGACTTGTCTAGGGACAAAGATCCCCACAAAAGGTGGCAGAAGCCAGAACAGTATGTTCATAAAAGGATGACCTTCTGAAAGATGATCACATAGACAGGAATCTCTTTGCATGTTCCTCCTGCATGCAAAAGAGTTTAAAGAAGAACAAGGCCAAACATTTGGAGCCTTACAAATACCAAATATGGATGGAGATACTTCTGGTTGAGCTCTAAAGCATTTGGAGAAGCGTCTGGGGTCCAGACCTCAAAGCCAGAGTGTTCAGAGTGTTGTTTAACAACACAGTAAATCCAGCTTCAGGGTAGCTTCGGAAGCCCTATTAAAAATGCTAAGATGTGCAACAAAAAGCATGGATTTCCTATAAACTCATTTTCCTGCTCAGGCAGCTGCAGGGGAGAAACTTGATCTTTAAGCAGGTGCAGTCTGTTGCTGCCATTCTAACTTTGTCAAGTACCATGGACCAGCTCAAATGCCATGTCACACATTTTGGCTAGTTTGGCAGGAAAAACACTGGGCACCAGTGCTCCATCTACTCTGGGTCCACTCTGCTGGTGGCTTTGGCAGCACATGCATAGGCAGGAGTTGGTGAGGAACGCTGGCCTCAGACTGACAGTGTGCTGGCATCCTCTTGGATCTGTTCCTGATGTGCACAGCACCTGTTGCAAGAGGCTTGGGATCCTCTAACAGGTGCTACCAGGATATGCCTGGTTCATGCAGCTGGAGAGCAGGAAGAAGGCAGAGAGGTATCAGGAGATGGGAAATTGGCACTACTTCTTTCCTGAGGTTGAAAAAGATAAGTATATATATATATATTTCTGCATTGAATGAGAGGAGGCGGTGGATGCTGAAAGCTGAGCCTAGTCCTGGTAACAAACCATGAATAGCAGCTGGGAGGGACAACGCAGCCAAATAACCTGCACCACCTCTCCCCTCCTGTCCCCCCGGTTTCCCACGGCCCTGCTCCAGCTCAGGACTCTCCCGTCTCACCTCGGGGCTGAGCTCTCTCGTAAGGACCAGGCTGGATTGGCAGAGTTGGAGGGTCGAGAGCGAGGGGTGGTCGGCAGATTTCCTTGTCTGGAACTGCAGACTTAACTTCTGCGTGGACTCATGCCCGCGGGAGACATCCGGGAAGAGCGCCCAGAACCGCCGGGTACTTACATGTCGTCGGGATGCACATTTTCCTCCGCTTCCCCCGGAGAATCCGTGTCATGCTTTTCCCCTTCCCCTTTCTCAAGCGCGACCAAGCAAAGCGCTCCCGTGGGGAGCGAGCCCCGCCGGGCGCTGCCGGAGGCTCGAGTCCCTCTGGCCGGGCTTGCCCATCGCCTCCGCCGTGCCCGGCGCGGGAGGGGATGCGGGTGGCGGCCCCTCAGCCCCGCGGCCCCGCGTCCGTGCCCCGCGCAGCCCCCGCCATCCGCGGGCTCGGGCAGAGGGAGCCAATGGGTGCCACGCACGGAAACACCGGCAGGAGAAGGAGGAGAAGCAGGGGATGGACGGCAGGGCAGGAGAACAAAGATGAGCGGGGGGAGATACCGGGATGGAGAATAAAAGCGGGAGAGGGAGGCGCAAGGAGATGGGCAGAGGGATGAGGGGAGCGCAGAAGAGGGGAGGATGAAGGAATGAGGAGTGCGGTAAAAGAAGCTGAGGACAGTGGGGGGAAGGGGGAGAGGAAGAAAAGAGGGATTCAGAGAGCAGCGATGTGATGGTAGAGGGGCAGGCAGAAGGGGGCGACTCGGCTCGGCTCTCCTAGGGGCACCCTGGAGACGGGCCCCTGTTCCAAAGGTCTTGCAAGGCAGGACTGGTGCTGCTCGGAGCTGCAGGCACACAGCAAATCCTTCTGTCTGGCAGGGTGCTCAGAAATCGGGCAGATGTTGAGCACACAGACCCTCCTCCCTTCTGTTCTGCCCTGTGAGCACCTCCAGATGGATGGAGATGAGGGCAGATGGGCAGATAGGGGACTGTCTCTTTCATCTCTTTCCTGTTCGTTCCTTGGCTCCATATATGATCTCTCGTCTTTTGCACCTTCATTGTGAAAATGTTCCAGTTTAACAGCCCCAAACTTTCCTACCAAATTTAATTTCTGCTGGAAGGCACAGACCCAGAAGAAATGAATCTAAGAAAGAAATTAATCTTTGTGAGAGCAGTTGTCCCATGAAGGATTTTCCATCCCATTCCCTGCACAAAGGTCTTCCCTGTCATTCTCACCCCCTTTCCCACCCTCCAGCCAACATCAGTGACTCCTTGTACTGTGCATCACCATGTTCTTGACATTTGGCACTGCTATTGTGAGCATTTGAGCCCCTAGGGTAAATTCCAGCTTTAACAAAAGAAAGCAGTATCTCTTCCAGCACAACACCGCCAGGGTCTGGCATCCAAACCTACTTGGGCAACTTTATATGCAGCCAGTGCTGCTCAAAGGTGAGCTGATGAAGGCAGTACAGAACTTCAAAGCTGCCAGGCCTCTTTAGTCCAGAACTTGGCCACAATGCTGTCTGGAGACACAGAAGAGAGAGGAATCCTAATTGGGAAAGGAATGGCATGGGTAGCACCCAGAGGTTTTCTTTGCCATGGCAGGGCAGGTGTCTTGTAGCACCATGCAGAAGCCCCCAAGCTCCTTTGTTAGAAGAAACAGCCGTGAAACAGCAGAGTTCTACACAGTCCTGCTAACCTTGCATAAACACAGTCATTGCATCACAAATTCCAGGTCTCCAGATCACTCCCTGAATGCTTTAAGGTGTCCCATTCTCTGCCTCAGCTCCAGTGGGGGGCTGTGCAAACTGCTTAAATTGTGCTGGGAGGAGAGCTCAGCCTGTGCACCTCCCCAGGTAGGCAGATACATGAATTCTGTTTCATACACATCATATGCATTGCTGTGTGTTACAGGGGGTGGGGCAGACTGAAAAGGCAAAAGCCAAGGCTTCAAAACTGGAGAGAAGTAATAAACCACTGGGAATATATTGCTTTGAGTCATGCTTAGGATGCTTAAAGGAGGTTAGATACCATTTCAAGTACTTTGTGTCCCTCACCCTTTCACAGGTATATGCCCATACCAGAGGCTTCAGTTTTACTCTTCTGGACTTACACTGACATAATTTGTATTACCTTTGGGTGGGGCCTGGGCAATTAATCCGGCAGCCCATGTGCAGTGCAGATATTTGTGGAACTCCCTGCCATAGGGTGCCTGCCAAGGGTTGCTCTGAACTGTATCAGTAGGAAATGTGTCACATCACTGAATTAACTGCCTCATTCAGATCTGACTGTGAATTGGAACTGCAGAAATCTCCCTGGCAGCAGGGTACTTCGGGAGCTTCCCTGTGTCTGGGTGCACCTGGCATCACCAATGCTCCTCCTCAGTGCAGGAAGCAGCCGTTGAAGCTCAGAAGTGTTGCTGCATCCAGGAGCAGTAAACTGGCTCACCTCCACAGATTCTCTGTGCCCTCCTAGGACTGCAGGATTTTGCAGTGCCAATCATCACACCCTGAGCCCTCCCCTCTCCTGCAAGTAGTGGCAGTAGCAGCCACCCTGTAACACTTCCTCTGGAGTCCCTGCAATGCATCAGGAAAGCAGGTGCTCACAGCTGCCAGATCCATGGTACCACTGGGACCACTCTCTTCAGCTTAATTTTAGTGTCTTGGAGGCAATTTGTCTGGGCTGGTGACTCATTCCTCCCTTTTAATTTTTTTCCCTGCCCTCCTCCTTCCTATTCTCACTCTGCCTGTGTCTGGCAGTGTGAGAGAGTGCCAGAGCTTAGAAGGATTAATGCAGCAATGTTTTGGTGAAAAGATGTCCCCAGCAACCTGCGGGGGCAGTCCCCAGGGAGAGGAGTCTGCGTCCAGGTGTACCTTCCCAAGGCTTGCATCCCATCCTGTGTGTGGCACAGAGGGGAGTCAACTTTTCCTTTCAACGCATGGATACCGAGAAGAGGAAAGGCAAAAGGAATGCGGGGGGCTCAGGTGAGAACTCAGCACCTTCGCAATCATCCTCCAGCCCCCAGGCTCCCCGTGGGGCTGCCAGAGGAGGGGCACAGCTCCAGCCCCGCCGCCCCACTGCTCACGGCTCCAGGGCTGTGTCCCCCGAGGTGCAACACATCACGGACATGACACAAATGTACAGTCTGTTTATTATGTCTTATTCACTACATTGTAACCTCAGGGGCCCGGAAGGAAGGGAAGGGGCAGCTGGGCAGGTGAGGCAAGAGCGGAGCCGTTCTGTGAACATCAAACCAGTGCTACAGACCCACAGCAGTCTTTCAAGCCGGCAGAAGGAAAAAGAAGGAAAAACCCCAAGATGCTGAGCTCTGGGCTGCTGGAGCCATCACTCTCCTGTGTGCTGGGCAGCTCCTGGTATCAGGATGAGACTGGGATCTATAGCCAAAAAAATGACAGACCTCATAATACCAGCTCAATTATTTTCCTGCTTTCCTTCCCTCTCCTCTGGTGATGGTGGGAGTATAAAGGGACAGGGTCCAAACTAGCAGGCTCTCACTCTTCTCTGTTAGCAGGCTCTGACCAGCTTTGACTCTTGTCCTGAGGCCTCTCTCCTCCCTCTGCTGCCCTGTACTGAAGTGGAGGCAGGTCGAGACAACATGAGGAGTAAAGGACTCTTGTAGGAGAAGCTGCCACTTGCCAATGAACAACACAAAAAACCACTTGAGGTGAGCAGGGCTTGGTAAGAGGAAGGGCCACTGGAAACTACTATGAATAGTGAACAACTTTTTCTTTTCCTTTTTTTTTTTTTCTACAGACAAAGGCTATGGCCTCATAGGTCTCAGGGCAGGTCATCCTCAGGGCAGCCTGGATGTAGTTCCCTCTGCAGCAGAAGCCAACAGACAGTTCTTCTCTGTAAGGGCACATGTGGAAAATTCTAGGCTGCCCCACATCAAGAGATGGGAACAAACTTGCCCACAGTCAAGCAGAAAGGAGGGGGAAGTTGATCCTGGGTGCATCATACCACGTTCTGTCCTTTCCCCAAGCAAGATCAGCTTCTCCCTCTCTCTCCTTGAAGGTGACCCACTCCAACAGCCTCACCAGGACACCAGAGTGGCCCTGACTGGGTTCAGGAGCAGGAAAGCACCACTGGTGTCCCTCCCAGAGATCCCTGTCAGACTTACTTGCTCAGAGGAGGCTGCATGCCCGTTTCTTTGTCCGGGTGGGCTGTGGGCACAGGACTGCTCGGATGGCCTCGTCAAACACTGTCTTGAGGCCTCGCTGCGTCAAAGCCGAGCACTCAAGGTATTTCACAGAGTCTGTCGGGAGGAAAGCATCTGTTGCACTGGGGGGGAAGGCAGCTGAGTAGGCAGTGGGGATACCTAGGTTTCTGCTCCTTATGCTAGAAAGCACAGCACCTGGCTCCTGCCCAAGCTGAATAAACACATCACAGGTGATCAAAGACATTACACATTGTCAGGACACATTTCACTCACTCAGACAGTCTTGACTTCAGGGCAAAGCTTGCCAGCTGCACTAGACCTAGGTTTGCCTACTGGCTACCCATGTAGCCAGAGCAGAGCCATTTTGTGAGTCTGATCATGTAATCCTCGCCAGACACTCCCTCTGCTGAGCTCCTTCTTGGAAACTCCCTCAAGCTGTGTTTCTCACCCTCTCTCCCATTTCTGTGTGCCACAGATGAGAAGAGCTGGATGGTGGGGTGAGACACCCATACCTGGGATTGCATGTATAAGCCCCAGCAGTCAGAAGCAGAAACAGGAAACTACAGTTGCAGTTCTTCCTGAGAGAGGTTAAAAACCTCACTTCTGCCTCTCCGGATATGGAGGAGTGGCCTCTACCCACTGTGCAGCTGTGGCTTGCACAGAAAAAATACTGTCCCAGATAGAAGCAAGCAGAGTAAAAGGGGAGGAGAATGTGAAAGTGTGTGGTTATGTGTTTATGTGGAGGATGGTGGCCAGAGAAAGGCAGAAAATAGAGAGCTGAGGGGTTGAGCCTTCCTCAAGAAGCAGATCTCCTTCCTGAGTCTCCTGAAGTGCATTTTGTCCCATGACCCTGGATGTGTCTCCTTGCGTCCCCAGAGACACCACTGTGCGATACCACCACAAAAGCCTCGTTAAATTGAGGTGAAGCCCTTTTCTTCTGCCTCTCTCCTTTCAGTAGGTCCAAGAGGACTCCCAAACACTTACCTATTTCCTTGGCCAGAGCAAGACCCTGAGGATACGTTATGGGGGACAGCTTCTTCTCCTTCAGCTTCTCAATGGTGTCCTTGTCATCGCGGAGATCCAGCTTTGTGCCCACGAGGATGATGGGGGTGCTTGGGCAGTGGTGCCGCACCTCGGGAAACCACTAGCAAGGCAGCAAAATGCCAAAGGGGTGACAAGAGGTCGCACATATGGGCATGCACATGGGAAACAAAGAGGCACTCCTGAAAAATGTCAGCTAACAGCCTGTCCTTTCTCACATCCATTGTTGGCACTATAGCCTGGCCCAGGCCAACTCCTGTTGCTGGGTCCTCAGTCAAAATCTCTGACAGGGAGCTCAAATTTTGTTATGCAAAAGCACCAGCTGTTCTCAGCCCTCGACCCTCCCACGCAGGGAAGAACATTAAAGTGGTAGCAAGGACATACTTTTGTTCTCTGTTCACCAATCTCTTCCTTTTTTCCGCACTTCCCATTTAAAAGCTGCCTTTATACCCTATGGACCAGTCCTGTGTGTCTGTGCTTTGACAGTCCTGGCTGAAAGATGCCACCAAAATATAAGTCTATGATCTGACAACACAAGTTGAATAGTAGCCCATTGGTAGAGTTGTCTGCCTTCTTTAAATGAATCAGAAAATGCATCTGAAGGAGGTTTCTGACTAACAGAAAAGAGGTATGACTTCTTGAACCTAGATGTCCTACTGGTAGTCCCCACCCATAATCACTGTTCTTGCAAGACCACCGCCACCATCACCTCC